GATTGAACATTATTAACACTAAAGGCACTATGGTAATTGATCGATACAGGCTCTATTGAATGTTTTCTAGATATTAAAAACAGGGTCAAAACGGGTCAAAACTTCACCAATCCGTGAAGTTAATCGATTATTCTACGGTTCTTCAGTTGAATTAATTAGTTGTCGATAGATAAGTGATCAATAACTCTCCTCTGTGCGCTCCGCTCACCTCCCGCGGTCTCGCTCTCTGATCCTGGTGCTCTGGCTGGGGTCCGTGACGTCACAGCACTCTTTCTGATGGAGCAGACATGTCTCCGCTGGAGGAGACTCCTGTCCGGAGCCCAGGGGGCTTTTCTTACAGATACAACATCTCCAAAAATAAAGGCGATTCGTAACAGCTGGAAATGGAGAGCGACAAACCAAGGAATAAAATTCATTAAACCAAAAAAAATAGTTTACTTCACAGACTAAAATAATTGTATAGCATACTCCCGGAGAGCAGAAGAGAAAGGGCACAAGTCCCTGTAATGAGCTCTTTTAAGCATTTTAAACGAATCTCCACAGAATAGAAGCCAGGAGGATCAGACACCTGATCCTGAAGGTTGAAGAGTATCTCCTGGTTTTATTTCCACCCGAGCTCTCAGCTCCTCAGCCGGTTTGATGATTTAATTAACTGTATAACTGTTATCAGACTCTGTTTAACTGTATATTTATAAGACTGTCTGCGAGAGATGTGTGGGAGACGCTGAATCCCAGGGCTGGTGTGGAATCACACACAGACAGGTCTTCTGTGTGATCTGAGTCCCACTGCTCAGAGCTAAAGACTGGTCAACTGGTCACTATTGTAAACACAACCATTGGTCTGTTGCTGCTGAGAATCATAATGCACTGGTAAGAGTGGCAATACTCACAACCAATTAATTCAACTGAAGAACCGTAGAATAATTGATTAACTTCACTGATTGGTGAGAACGAATTATTTTCCCATTTTGACCCTGTTTTTAATATCTAGAATACAATTCAACTGAAGAACTCAGATTGTCAGGATAAAGAGAAGGATGGAGATGAGCTTCTGTCTGTTCAGGAGGTAGGAGTTTTGGTAAAGTACTGAGGGATCCAATGCTCTGTGTGTGAGTCTGAGCTGTGAATCTGACTGAGAGGAGATACATTTTTTATTCTGCCTGTGAAAAGTCTTTTCCTTTGCCGATCAATGTTACATCCCATTCAGATACTCTGCACAGACTGTCAGAGTGAGCGGAGAGGAGAGAGAGATGGACAGATAAGAGCACACATTGCGAGAGAGACAGGAAGTGGGAGAGAGAGGAGAAGGAGCATGAAGACAGTGCAGGTGTTCAACCACACTGTGACCACAGGAGACAGGAGGCTTTTCTCAGCTGCTGAGGAGCTCAGGGCTCATGGCCACTCAGGCTCAGAGGCTCTGGCAGCAGTCAGGTCTGAGGGCTTCTTTTGATACTGACACTGGAGCTCTGAGAGCCAGCCTCCGTTCTGACAGGAACAGCCCCTCCTTTTCAACCCTGAGAGACACCCTGAGAGAGCTGTGAGACCCCTGAGACATCTGTGTAGGGAGAAGACCTGTCACCCTGTAGAGCTCTGAGCACTGGGCTCCCCTGTGTGCTTCACTATACAGCAACAGAGCTCTGACTGGACTCCCTGTGTGTCTCTGTACAGGACTAGATATCTGAACACTGGGCTCCTCCGTTTGTCTTCCTGTACAGCTCAGCTCTCAGCTGCCTCATCACACTGCACTGAGCATCACAGCATAAACCACAGACTCACTGTGGAGTCTGACCTGCAGTTCCAGTAAAGCTCTGACGAAACAGACCCATTTCCTAAAGAAGAGATAGTGCAGTTTTACTGAAGATAATATGTCCTTCTGTAAAAATATGTTGTCATGTCATTATGTGAAAAGTTTTCATGCTGGCCCAGCAGGGATTGTGGCCTTAAATCACCACTGTTAGGCTGTATTAACAAGGACTGATTGTTTTTAATAATCATTATAATCATATATTATCATTAATCATCATCATTATTAATCATTTTGTTGTTTCTTTATGCTTTGAAACTGACTCTTGCTCTTTTTCTCCTGCAGTTGTTATGGTGACAAATACTACTGCTGCTATTACTACTACTGCAAATACTGCTACTATTACTACACCTACTACTGCTACTACAACTATGACAGCTGCTACTATCACTGCTACAGATACAACTGCAACTAGTAATATTTTACTGCTACTACTAAAGCTACTAGTACTACTGTTACTACTGCTGCAGGTACTACTGTTACTGCTACTACTGCTGCCACTGCTACTACTTCTACTACTATTAATAAGGAGGATGTGAGCTGTGTTCTCACAGTTCAGCCTCAGTCTATTAACAAGTGATGATTTTTTCTTTTTGTTGTTTTTCCAACTTTGAAACTGACTCCTGCTCTTCTGCTCCTGCTGTTGCAGTTCTTATAGTGAAGCTGCAACACAGCTTTGCTATATTGTTGAACTAAAGAGTTTAAATACAGCATAACTACAATACTACTTTTGTTACTACTGCTCATGCTTTTAGTATTACTACTGTTACTACACCTACTACTTCTGCTGCCACTGATACAACTGCAACATAAGATTTTACTGCTACTCCAACTGCTACTACTAATGTTACTAAAGCTACTAGTAGTACTGTTACTGCTACTAATACTGCTGCCACTGACACTACTGCTACTGCCACTACTATTAATCAGTCACACAGTTGGCTCCACACAGAGAGATGCTGGGTCACAGCTGGAGGGGCTGGAACATCTGTGTGGGCTGGAGCTGCACAGGGACAGACTCAGGGTCTGAGGGACTCAACTGGAAGAGCTGCTGTCCACCAGGCTCAGTACAGAGGGGACAATCACTGCTGGGCTTTTCTTTCTTTTTCATTTAAATTATTGATTTTTGATCAGAGCCACAGGACAGCCAGTTCTTATTCAGTCCTTGTCTCTGTAATCCTGTGATGACCTGAGTGACCTCACTTCCACCATGGGAACAGGCTCTCTTCACACTGTGCTTGACCAGGACCAGAATACATTGCTGTCCGGAGACACAACAACTTCTTTATGATTCACTGCAGGACACCAGTCATTAGACACTGCCTGACACAGGCAGCAAGACACACAGGACCATATTCAGGACACCACTCACTAGACACTGCCTGATACAGACAGCAAGAATTACAGGACCATATAAATATAATTGATTATCTTGATACTGATTTACAAATATAATACTTGTTTACAATTTTTTCAGGTCAATATCTGATCTCTTCCTGCCCTTGCAGCACCTGCAGCCCTGTGAGACACAAAGCTGCTCCTGTCTCTCCTCCCCTCCGCAGTGCTGGGAGTGTCTTCAGGAGAGGAAACAGTGATGTGGCTCTCATATATATGGAGAAGACTAAAAGGACCCTGTCTGATTGGCTGTCCCACCTGTGTGAGAAGTTCCTGCTGTCAGTCTGAAAAGGCAGTGCTGTGTGTGATTGGCGGGGCGGGGGGCTGTGTTGTTACTGGGGGTCTGGGGTGCGGAGCAGCAGCTCAGTTGTCCTGTGGGCTCAGGGGTGAAGACAGGGGTCTCAACTGAGCTCTGTCCTGATGACAATGGAGAGCTGCCTGCACGTCTTCTCTCTCGCTGTCCTGGTGCTGCACAGCTCAGCCAGTAAGTGTCCAGTATTTTCCTGTCATGTCTGAAATGTAAGATTATCTTAAATTAAAGTTTAGATGGAAAATGAGAAAAAAGTGGGTTGAAAATTGTTCTGGCTTTGCTGGTTATTAAATTATTAAAATTAAAATAACTATACAAGTTATTATAACTTTTTTTCTGAGTGTATGATTGAGGAAACATAATTAGCTGCTTAGAATAGTTTTAGTTTGAGATCTTTGTATTTTATTAATCTACAGAATAATGCTAAAATATTCTTAAAATTATTCAAATATTTTATTAAATTTATTGGTATTATTAATTTCATTCAATTGCCTAGACCCACTTTATTTTTTAAATCACCCATATTAATAATAATTCCACATCCATCAATGTACTTTTAATCATAAGGTTATAGTTTTCGATAGAAAAGGAGCAAGAGGACTGTGGTTGAGAGATTTTATTTTAAATGAAGCTTTGCGGGAATTTATCAAAAATTGTTCAAAATGATTTTTGTTTGAGTTTGCAAGTTCAGAAAAAAATACAATCTATGGTAATTCTATTCAATAAATCAGCATTAATAATATTTACACCATGGATGCTACATGTACTACACTCATCTCTCTTGTATACCTGTTGGTATAATAACATGTTATTAATACATAATTTATACACATTTAGAAACGATGCTGTATAAGACATGTCTATGTCAGGCTGGGTCAAGAGTGTTTTTTATGTTACCATGTTAATCATCTACACTGGTCATTATCACTCTCTTGATAATTTGTGATTTTATGTAGAAATGTTACATGAAAATTAGTATATAAAATCTATTAAAAAAGTTGTTTACAAATCCTAATCTGTTGCACTAATAATAATACAATTATTCATATGTTAGCAGCAGTTTGAGTGATATGCTGGAATATGTGACAAATTAGAAAAAGTATTCCATAATAATATAATAGCATACAGGCTGATTCAGAAATATTTAGCTTGTTGATTGTTTCATTATCACACAGGGTGATTCAGAAATATTTACCTTGGATTGTTTTTTGCTTTAATTTGCTCAACTCTGTCTCCTCTATATGGTATAATTGTATAATTTACAATACTGTAAACTAATAACGTTCTATCACAATGGAACACGAGTTTTTATAAAACCTAGAAGGAATACTTGTTTTCCACACCTGAAGAAGGCTCCACGGCCAAAACGTGTTTTCTTTCTTCTTTCTTTCAGCACGGAATAAACCTATCAATTATTGTATAATTACAGACGGATGCACTAATAGAAATAAGTTTGTTATTAAAGGCTGGAGTACTTTTAAGTTTCTGATATTTTCATTAACAGATATACATACAGTAAATGTGTCATTAAAGATTAAAGTGCTAGAGAATTAAGTTTTAAGTTTTAATGCAGATATTATGTCTCTTGTGTGTTCTGTCTTTAAGCTGTATGACATTCAGTTGCTGTGAAAACAAGTATTTCTTCTAGGTTTTATAAAAAAAACTCATGTTCTATTGTGATAGAACGTTATTAGTGTATATTCTTCCTTATACAGAGATATAATCATGAAAAATCTAAAATACTGAAAACGTAAAATAGTGGAATCCTAGGACAATTGGTTCTTGTAGTTTTTAAAGGGTTAAAATAAAATTAATATTAGTATTATCTGCTTCACGCAGACAAGGTTTGCTGTGTTAAGACATTGGAGAGACATGCTGTACCGTAAAGGTCACATTCTTTACTGGTGTAGTTGTGAAAACTTAGTTTCGCTGGTGTATTATTAGCAACTGGGGTCTTATTAGTAACTGATGTGTAAAAGCAATAATTTAACAGTTGTTGGACAATGTCATATTACAACAAGAATTTAAAAATGAAAGTTGTGGTTTATACTTATACAGGATTTGACTGCTATTTCACAGCCATATATTTTAATTTGTGTTTTAGATTTATCTTAGTTACGTAAGGACAGGATGACGGGGCTTATTTTTGGTATATTGTGAAGTTTTATTTAACATTTGTATTCTAATTTGTTGTGTGCATCAGAAATGAATAATAAAATGCAAGTACCTAAGTAAGGCTAATACAAATTAAATATTAGGTACATAACATCATATGACATAAAAAATATAAATATTAAACAGGATTTCACTTAGAGATTTATAACCACAGGACTTGTTTTTTAGCAGTTTTTCAAGACAACATCACAATAATATAAATAGTCACAGTATGCCTGTCTGTGTTAAACCTATCTGGTATTTGGTGAAAATGTTGTGCTTTAATATAATTTAATCAGACAATCATGTGTTCAATTTAGATGTTGAGAGGTAAAGGCAAGAAATACATTGTTCACAGTTCACACTGCATCTCAGCACCACAGCAGCACAGTAGTGAAGCACCTGGCAGCCACTGACCCCAGTTCCCAGAAACACAAGAAGACAAGTCCCAGCTCTCTAAAGTCATGCACTCACCACAGTTACTGTCCACTGTAGTGACCACAACTCCCAATAACACAGGAACACAGGCATTACAGACACTGTCCACTGTAGTGGCCATATGCCCTAGAAAATATACAGGAACTCAAGACAAAGCCAACTGAAGCCATACAGTAATTGCAGACAATATCCACTGCAGTGACACAGCACCCAGAAGAATTGTATTTTAAGAGTTTTTATGTTCCGATTTAAATTCAGCTTTATGGATATTTATTAAAATTATAATGTTATATATTATTTTAAATAAATATAATTTAATCTGTGAATCAAGCTTTAATTAAGGTCTTTAAAGGTCAAATCTAAAATAAAAATACACTGTTTAAATATTTAATGTTTCGAGAGCAAAACAAATGATAAAAATGAAAAATTATTAAAAATAATTGTGATAATGATGGAAAAGATATGTTATATTCTTGTCTATCTGAAAAATACACATTTTATTTTTTTCATTTTGTATTTTCATAAATCATACTTTCAAAAACAACATTTTTAAAGAGAGTCATAAATGTGTAAATACAGAGAGCCTCTCCAGTATCTCACACACAGTCACTGTGCTGGTAGACTCTCCAGTATCTCACAGACACTTTGCTGCTAAACTCTCCAATATCTCATACACAGTCAAGTCAAACAGGAAAAACAACATAAAAATATAAATACCAGGTTTGATTCTGTGTAAATGTGAAGTATCCTGTAGATGTGTTTATAAGTCTGTACATTGTACATTGTACTGTATAACATTGTACATTGTATGTATAAATGTATATTGTTTCAATCTCTGCAGGCAGTGCTGATGTGAGGCTGGTGAACGGTGCCAGTCCCTGTGCTGGGAGAGTGGAGATTTATCATGAGGGACAGTGGGGGACAGTGTGTGACGATAGCTGGGATCTCAAAGATGCTGCAGTGGTGTGCAGACAGCTGGGCTGTGGTTCTGCTCTTTCAGCACCAGGAGATGCTCACTTTGGACCAGGAGGTGAACCAATTTGGCTGGATGATGTTTCCTGCACTGGGCAGGAGTCAGCACTCAGGGACTGTAGATCACCTGGGTGGAGAGTGGAAAATTGTGGCCATCACGAGGATGCCGGTGTGCTCTGCTCTGGTAGGATAGTTTATATTAATTTCTTTCCAACTAGGTCTAAGTTGAAATACCACATGTATCAATCTATTTCCCTGTTTTCTATCATCCTAAACTAGGATACACTAGGATATTGTCTGTGAGAAGTATTATGTTCATATTTTGTGACAAAGCCCAGAGTCCTGTCACAATGTGGGGGGGTCCAGACTTACTGGTCACTTTAATTCATTTTCTTAGATCTCTCAGTGTTTCTGTGACAGTGACTTGATCTGCAATGAATGTGTTGAATGTGTTCTTAATAATTTGCAAATTAAGTTTTGCTCAGTAATTTTCTAAGATTCCAGCACAGTGAATAGCATTAATACTCTTTATAATTCCTCAGAAATGTGTTCAAATAATGAATATTATTGCTTTCTCTTCCTATCTTTTCTGATATTCAAACATATTGAGTGGTTAGTGATCTCTGTTATTGTTCTGATATTTCAGCTCATCGAGGGGTCAGACTGGTTGGCGGCAGTGATCTCTGCTCTGGGAGACTGGAAGTGCAGCACAGAGAGACCTGGGGCTCAGTGTGTGACTCTGACTTCGGCTGGCAGGATGCAGAAGTTGTCTGTAGGGAGCTGGACTGTGGGGTTCCCTCACAGGTGCTGAAGGGGGCTCATTTCGGGAAGGGAGAGGGACAGGTCTGGACAGAGGAGCTCCAGTGCCAGGGAAGTGAATCTCACCTGTCCTTCTGTCCAAAGTCCTCCACAAAGACACAGAGCTGCACCCATGAGAACGATGTGGGACTGGAGTGTTTTGGTAAGAGGGGGATAATT